AGGAGCAAGATACTCTTTTTAGCCATTAGATATGCAAGAAAATTTAGGGTTTTACGTTAGTTTTTTGGTTCATTACGAGGCTTCATTACAAGACAGCAGATTTTACAGTGTTATTGTGTTTCATTGACAGTTAAAAAAACAGCTGTCAAAAACTAACCTCAACAGTGAAATGACTTCCAGTGAAAGAGTTGATTACCATGTTCTCAAAGTTAGAAATACTTCACTGATCTCCCTCATTTCCACACTCATTCAACTATCATGAAAAATATGCCCCAGTGTTTAAAATCATGTCAGTATTTCATCAGTGACGAGGGGGGGCTTCTGCTTTCACGCCCCCTATAATGTTGTTTGCTCATCCTGTGACCCTGCAGCCCCTCGTCCCTGTCACCTGGTCCTTTGTCCCCCTCGCCGGGGCCACCTTGTATCACATATGGAGGGGACTGGCCGAACCCCTCAGCTCGCTGCATCTCGCCTTAAACACTCTTTTTGTCTGCGTGTCTCCCCGTGAATGGACCATTGTCCCTCGCCCCAAAAGGGACCGAGACAAAATCTTTAGTGTTTCAATTCCCGAGATGTTTAATCAGTCCCTGCGACAAATTTATGAGGTTTAACTGCACAATGGTGTTTTAGAGCATCTTGGGGTTTAAGGGTGACAAAGACAGGCTTTTAGAGGTTGCCATTGGTTTTTTAAGTTGGTCAGAGGAATTGTGTGAAAAGGATGGGCTTGTGTTAGCCTGCCCATCCTATAGTTTTACTCACTGGTCTGTCCCCGGGGCCTCTTTAAGGAAAGTTATAAGGTCCACATAAACTAGGCCACAGGAGGAGTTTTGTTAAGTTAACATCTATGGCCCTCAGAGTAAGACAGACGGATAGTATTTTTGAAATTGTAGTGCAGATCATTTTTGGCAAGCTTTTTGCTGTTCCATATTTCATACACTGAAGTTTCCCAAATATTGGCCTTTATTCAACACAATTAGTTATAGTTTATCTTCACCCATTGGCAAACATAATGGTTGTGTATAGCTGTGCAGTTTAGGTTGCATGGTTAGCAAAATATAATAGTTTATATACTCATAAACTGGCTACTCACACTCAACATATTTGTGTCCTCTAGTGAGACTCTGCACCGCTGCTTGATTAAAGGCTCTTTTAAACAGAAACAGAAATCTGGATTTAGTGTTTTATATGTGTTGTATGTGTGTATATGTGTTTCAATTGTAGTTTATTTAGCCTACACTTATTTGGTATTTGCTGTATTTTAAGAACTACGGAAGCTTTTATGTATGTTGGGTATATGATGTACAATGCAGAATACCAAATTAGTCTTTTATTAACTTGTGTGATGTATGTATGTATGAGCTCTGCAATATTTTGAGGTGAAACTTACATTTGATTTAGTGCCTCTTCTGGAGCTCTGAGTGATGTGCTGCCGGCCTAAATTCACTGAACGTGGGTAAAGAGAGGATATGGTTGATTTTATGAAATCAGTCAGAATACAACTGTATTAAGAAATGTGAAGGTTTTGATAACTGCTGCAGCTCAGCGGACCTAAAGTTAATGATGGACCAGTATATAATGGATCCCCTTTAATGGATAATGCAATCAGAGGAAGGGATTGATAGTTTGTATGAAGCTGAGCAAATCTAAAAGATTAAGCAAGGGTTGTTTGGTTAGCATCATTTTCATGCAACTCAACTTAAATAAATTGAAAAAGGTCCCTTAAGATTACTGATGTTTCTCCTTTTTTTTTTAGATAACAGGTGAATGTGTTCATACAGTGAGCCGTTTCCCAACCACTTAAAAAGCATTTTCCACCTTCACCCCATTCTAAAAGTTTACACAGTCAGAAACATCTCAGACTAAACATAGAAATGCCTTGACATACTTTAATACTTACCTATAATAATACTAATACAGTTTTTCCACAAAAAACATTGAATCACCTCATTAAATTTTCTTAAAACCACATCCACTTCTTCTAAGACTTTGGAAAATCCAGAATCTATTAATATGTTAGCTGCTACTACAAAAATGGCGAAGTCTCACCATTATTTTCGGTTCAGCCACAACACAGACTGATTAACATAAAAGGGAAACATATTTATGAACATACTAAACTGATGCTAGTAAATTAAACCCCTTTATTTGTTTATTATTAAAATTTTGGAAGTTTTTGTGTGTATGTTTCCAAAGGTCAAAGGCTAGACTAATGGTGAATCTAATATGGGGTTCCTTCAGCCTATAAAAGCTGTTCAAGCTGTTAATTATAGGTGACATCTTCATAAAATACTTGTGAGAAAGTCTTTGTTGTTGATACAACTCTCCACTAGATGGCGGACTAACACACGGTATCACCTCTCACCTCTTTATAAATGAAACCCAAACGGCGTGGACAGCCAGTGACCCACTAGGGGTCGTGCTTCACTGGAAAACAACACGCTTTCCTCTTAGAATCCCCAACCACAGCTTCTGATTGGGTGCAAAAAGATGGCTGCCCGGAGTGACGTGCGGCTGCTTGGTGTGACATGCGTCAGAATTTTGCTCCAGGGTCCTCTAATGAGTCCTGTTGTTTTCCCTTTGTGGTGTACAGTTGAAATGTCTGCATCATATATCTCTACCTCTTTCAAATGTGACATGATTGGATTGGATAAATTATGGTTTGTTATGAATCGGTCTGACACTGTCCGCACTTCAAACATCATCATCAGCTAAAGTCTCATGTGTGATGGTGAAGATTTACTTCTTTCTTTTATCACCTTCTTCTCAGCATCCTTTTTTCTTTTTTTTCTTTTTTGCAGCTCATTACCTGAACAAGAGTTGGAAGAGTAACATTAGATTTAATAGGGTCTGTTTGGGGGCTGTAGACATTCAGGCTACCATGTAAGGCCTTTAACTGTGGCATAACACAAAAGTAGACCTCAGTGAATTGAAAATAGACAAAATGTAATACCATTAGATCTAATTTGTTATTCTGATATATGTGAAATGGAGACAAGTGTGCGAATATTTTGATCTTTCTTCATTTACCCCTAGAGATCAATTTTGGATTCATCAGCGACATTTCTGTACTTTGATAGATTTGATAAATATTCCTTCCTATCCAGGTGAATTTAATGATATTTTTGTGCTTATTATTCTTTCTCTACAGTGTCGCTGTAGCTATCCTTATGATATTTTGATGTGGACGTAAATAATTTCCAGTGAATTTTGTATCTTTATAAGAAAATATTGCAGTTTTTTTCATGGGATATAATAACAATAAGTAACTTCTTTTTTAATTTCCATCGTAAACACTTATTTTTCCCGTCTGAAGTTGTTCACTGGATTATATCATGCACTAATCAGTTCATAAACAGCAACCTGAAGCCTCGCTAACAAAGGCTCGAGCCTTTGTTGTGTGTCCTCATTATTCTGAGGAATTAGCCGGAACATTTGAACTAATTACTGCTAATTGACCATAATAGCCGTGTGCCAGAACAGTAAAAAGGTACTGATTTAGATGATTAAAACGTCTTGCGAAATTCCGTAATTAAGGAAGGCATAAGCAAGATTTACCTTGGATGCAGAAACATGCTGTAATTTTAATTGCCTGCGATTATATGGCCTGCGAATTGTGCGCCCGCACCTCGGCTATCATCCAAACAATTTATTTTAACTGTAATATTTAGGCTTGGACTATATGATAATATTGCTTCATTAAAGATAAGTGTCTATAGTCTGAAGGGCTACTTGGAAAATGCAGCTCTGCAAATAATGCACAGATTATCCTGCTGGAACATGCAGGCAGCCATGAAATATGCAGCCAGAAGCCTGTAAGATGCAGAACTGTGGCTGATGATCCCCCATGACAAACTGTCAGTGATCTGCATGTCACTGCAGTAATGGGACTTTACTTTGCTGCTGAGTCTGGCTTCAGTTTGACAGCTTGCTGCGGAGGGTGCATCATCGTTCATTTGAGTTTTTTTTAATAAAACTAGTTAGACATTTACACAGTTTTATTAAGAAAAGAAACACAAGTTAAGAGTCACAGTGGAATAAAGCTGATCACACTATTACAAATTATTGTGTCTGCCACCAGAAGACGCTGTGTTTCTTTAACTCCTGCAGGCTATAAGGAAATATCGGCTCAACCTGCAGGCACAGACTTCTTCTGTCAGGAGCTGGTGGCACCTGCTGCTGCTGCTGCAAGACTGACGTTCCACCACCGGCAAGACCTTTACAAAACTGAAAAATATGAATAATATTTGCTTCATTATTTTTACAGTAGCCACAGGCCCAGCTCCGGTATGATCCTGACTTCCACAGATTGTGTAAGTTAGAAGTTACTGTATCAATTTTATTTTTTATCTTCAAATGTTGTATGTCAATAATTTTTTAACCTAAAAAGCTCTGGACGGGTAAATTGGTAGCCGAATAATGACTAGTAGACTTAACATGTAAAATAATAAAACACTGGTTGTAATAGCCTATCAGCATTCAAATAAAAATAGAATAATAATAACTATGATGATAGTAATAACTATAAAAAAAACCCCGCTATAATTAGAGTAATGTACTAATTTTAAGTAAATAAAAAACAAACCGTTCAAAATTCTTATTTTGGATTGAAAAGCTTTGCGTAAAAGTAGACCTAGCTCGGGAACAAGGCTCACAATACCATTTCCTGACTTCGGTGAAACCAAACTCTTTTCCTATGCTCCTGTGTAAAAAAAATAAATTAGAAATGAGATATGATTGAGTTAAACTGTTATGACTCCTTGAACATTAAAGCGAGATGCTTCTGGGCTACCTGGCGTTGTGCTGCAGGAGAGTACTTGAACGCCGTTAACTTCACATGAGAGCCTCCCCTACTCCAGACTCTATTTTGTTTCGTTGTTTTTTTTTGTTTTTGTTTTTTCCATCTGATCTCTTAGACGAGTGTGTACATCTGAATTTAGGTAACAAGCTGCTTGCGTCCAATGATATCAAATGAAAAAAAAAACACAACAACGAGGGGGGTTAATCATTTACGCAGCCACTTAACACGCGGATGTGTATTTATTTACTTATCAGTATCAGTCAATTTCCCTCCCCGCAAGTGCACTTTTGCATGTCTGAGTACGATAAGGCATAACACAAACAATCCTGCAATCACTGGAGGCCTCTCATGGCCATTAAAAGTCAGTAGTTCAACTGAGGAGTGGTTCTCCAACTCTCAAGTCCATATAGGCCTCCTTTCATCAAGAGGCCCTCGTAAACATCACTACAGTTAATAAAGTGTATTGTGGTCAGTGCAGTCTCAAGGTGTGCAGCCACGTGTTTATCAGCGACAGCAACAAGTCACAAACTCCAAATACAGCAGCTGCAGTGAGTCCGGACACCGCCCGCAGCCGCCGGGAGGAACATTTATGATCATGTACAGCGCTTATGTTATTGTTAGTGGGAGGGGAGCACATGTCTTGTAAGTGAAATTACGCTCGGTGAAAGGAGGCTAGAGCTGTTTTGTATTGTTGCCGATGCCCCGCCTCTGATGGTAGCCTTAAACCTGGCACCCAGCTAAAACAAACCAAAGCCAGCACCGAGCTCCCACTCAATCCAATTAAGGCGGACTTGAGGCGCTCTCCTACGTGTTCATCTACCAGGATCGACGTTGAGACAACAGGAACCAGAGGGGCTTTGGCCAAAAAAAAAAAAAAGAGAAGGAGAGATTGCCTTGCCTTCTAATTTCTCCCTCTCCAGCCCCAGAACAATGTCGATGAGCCCTAAGCATACGACTCCTTTTTCTGTTTCCGATATCTTGAGTCCCCTTGAGGAGAGCTATAAGAAAGTAAGTATGGAGAATAACAACTTGGGGGCACCTCTCACTTCTTACCGGCAGCCGCAGGTCTCTCAGGCGGCGATGCAGCAGCACCACATGGGCCATAATGGGACTGTGTCTGCGGCTTACCACATGACTGCGGCAGGTGTTTCTCAGCTGTCACACACGGCCATGGGGGGCTACTGTAACGGCAACCTGGGCAACATGGGCGACCTGCCGTCCTACCAGGACGGCATGAGGGGCAGCACCACGGCCACCGGCTGGTACGGAGCCAACCCGGACCCGCGCTTCTCCACCAGTGAGTAGCCTTCACCTGTGCTTTGACTCCAGCCTTGAGATATCGCAGGATATATAATGCGGAAATGCGGTTTTATGTGCATGTTTCGTGTTTTTGCTGCATTTTAGTGCTCGCTGTATTGTTTCTGTCACCTGTGCGCGTTTGTGCGCCATGGTGGGCACCCTGGAAAACCATCCAGTTTAGATTTCATCCGCTAGGTTTTCATTTTATTGTTAGGGAAGGTAAAGAGAAATAAAAATCATTCCTGCAACATTTATAAAAAGTCTCACCATAAGGAGCATTCATGCCGAAGATCCCCTCCAAGCTTTGCGAATTTGTTTAAGATACTTTAATGTTGAATACTTTATCACATTAATTCGTTATTAATATAGTGTCAGTTATGAGCTATTGCTGCAATTTGTGCTCAGGGATCTGGTTGATACAATTTGACAATGTATGAGTAGGCCTATGGACTTTGAGACGCATTTGGGTTTGTTTTTATTGATAAGGGCAAGACTAATTTTTACTCATCTGCTTGTAGAAACTTGACCATGTTGATTGACAACCATAAAAATAATTTGCAGTTATTTGAATTACATCAATGCTCAGGTTTATGATTTTATGACCCATAGCTGTATCCATCAACAAGCACGCCAAGCTTCGATTTCGTTTTCCGCGTAAAGACAGAATTAGTTTTGCATCATGGAACAAATCAGTAATTTTTGCTGTGTTTCCCCCAGTTTCTCGCTTCATGGGCTCGTCGTCGGGCATGAACATGGGCAGCATGGGCAGCCTCAGCTCCTTGGCAGACGTGGGTAAAAGTATGGGCTCCCTGTCCAGCACCCCGAGGAGAAAGAGGCGAGTGCTGTTCTCCCAGGCGCAAGTTTACGAGCTGGAGCGACGCTTCAAGCAGCAGAAATACCTGTCTGCGCCGGAGAGGGAGCACCTGGCAAGTATGATCCATCTCACTCCGACCCAGGTGAAAATCTGGTTCCAGAATCACCGGTATAAGATGAAGAGGCAGGCCAAAGACAAAGTGTCCCAGCAACAGATGCAACAAGACAGCGGCTCTTGCCAGCAGCAGCAGCAGCAGCAGTCCCCGCGGAGGGTGGCCGTGCCGGTGCTGGTGAAGGACGGGAAGCCGTGTCAAGGCAGCGGCCATACGCCCACATCCTCCGCACAGACCCACCACCAGCAAGGGGGCAATGTCATGATCATGTCCAACAACACGTCCGGCCTCGGGCAGCACCAGAGCCAGCAGGTGGGAAGCACAGGCCACTCTCCAGATTTGGCGCCGCACTCCTCCAGTCCGCCGTCACTGCAGAGCCAGGTGGCCGGCCTCTCCCACCTCAATTCCCCCGGCGCAGAGTACGGCTCGGCCCTGCAGTGTTCAGCCCTGTTGTACGGCAGGACGTGGTGACAAGAGGCGCCGGCTATGATTTAAACCAATTCTTCTATTTAAAGAATAAAAACATTTTTTTCTCTCTGTAAATGTGCGCATTTGAACAAGAACAGAGATGAGAAATCGGTGCAATTTTCACCTTTTGGACGGAAGTGTGACTTTTGGAAGGAAGGAGAAAAAACACTTTTGTCCAGAAACTGCGGATGTGAAAGTCTTTGGATTTTTTAAATGTAAATTATATTGAGACAAAAGAAGAATCAGCAGCATATAGGCCGCATTAGTTGGGAAAAGTGAACCTGAACAGGGAGGCAGATAGGCCTACCTTAACACTGCTGTATATGGGTGCTGTTACCCCCCCTTCCCCCACACATACACACACAAACACACAAACACACATGACTGATTTATAATAGAATTTAATGTAAGCCGTAGATCTAGCTTGTATATTTCTGTAAAAGGTTTGGATTTTAGCTATTTGTTGTACAAAGTTTTTGACGCTATTGCCGGTTTGTTGTCGTTTCATTGGTATTTGTACGTTTTATTTCTTTGTAACTTATATAGATATTTGACTTACTACAAAACAGTCCTATTAATAAATTATGGAAACAAGATAGTTACGTTTTTTGTGAAATATGTCACCATATGCGAAATGAAATGACGAAAATATTCCTTTGAAAAAAAATCAGTTGAGCAAAAATTAAACCAGTGCGGAATTATTGTTAGGCTTATTATTATTAGCTATTAGCCTATTTGATCGGTGTCTTAGGAGGTTAAATGTTTATTGATTATTATTGTGAGAGATGTGATGCAATTATTTACATTGAAAAACGTCTCAATGACGCGCCATATGACGCAGGTTTGGCAAACTGACAACACTAAATACTTTACCAACACTCGGGCTCTTATTGTGACATGACAATTAAACAATAGAGCCTATTTTTCCTGTTTTACTACAAATCACATGCAGCTCAGGCATATCGTTAAAGGCTGCAGCTCACACAAGCAGCGTCCTGCAGAGTAAACTGAGCCTGTATATTCACCGTTTTTTCTTTTCTCTTTCTGTGTGTGTGTGTTTGTTTGGAGCGCTGGTATGTGTTTGGTTTTTCTATATGTTGACTGTGTGAGTCAGAAAGGTCGTTCGGCTTCCAACATCAAACACAAGCGCAAAGCTTATCGAAGAACACCCTACTCACACAGTGCGGAATTCTTCTCAAACGAACGGTCGGCGCGAGGCTATCAGCTGGTTTATCAATAGCCTAAAAATCAGGTAGGCCTAATTGAAAGGAAACGGCGAAAGGCTGTTTGTGGCTGGCATAGCCTTAACAGTCTCCCCCTTTTTTCAAACATTAGCCATTTAGACCTACATGGTTGATACTTCGCAGTAACGAACACAAACTAGTAGCCTAATTTATTTCTCTGTAGATGAAGGCTCTGTAAATATAAGCTATAATAATCATTAGGGTCTATTCTCCCGCTACCTAATAGCGCTATATGTGTTAACTATGGCATTAACAGTAAACAACGTGGTTGCTAAGCGACGGGGTAATGACAGGTGATTTTCGTTTATGGCTGAAAGAAATTGTGTTTAATTCAGTGCTGTCCTACAGCTAGCCTATAATTTGAAATAGTTTTGGTCTGAACAAGATCCAATTCGACCTGGCTGAATTTATCTGGCGCTGAAATCATTTTTATGAAAGGCTGTTTTTAATTTTTAGACTTCAGCTGAAAGTCGAAATTTAAAGCTTAGCCTAATTTAGCCTAGTGAAGATTTGTAGAAATTATAATTTCTGCACATGGGATTTGTAAACGCATGAGCTATTTGTAGGCTGTGTGGCCTTTCTGACTGCGTCTTTTTGATTTCAAATGTCACCGAAGCGACTTGTTTTGGGAGCTCTTATGGCTTAGGCTACACCCCTTAATCGGTTCACACCTTGGCCTATCATTTCCCTAAAAATAAATAAATAAGTTACACAGATGCCTAGTTGTTACAAATAAATATAAAAACTTTAAAGTGTAGGCTATGTGTGCCGTCGATGATCGCTCACATGCAGATGCTCTTCAGGCCTAGTTTGCACCTGATTCCTGTTTCGTGATCTAATGTCTTTTACAGTCTGTCTTTTGCAGGGTGTATTTTCAACGGTAGGCCTATAGCCTATATGACATATAATGTCATAAAATTACATTTGTCCTACTGCGTTATCTGCTTATATCCATATTTATGTGTTAATGCAACATTTAAATGTGTTCCTCTTTTGGAGAAACCCACAGTAGTTTGGTGTTTGACTCGGGCTCAGCAGCAGCTTTTTCACTCATATAGGCTACTGTAAGTTTTTTTCTGGGGTGAACACTTTTATTTCACTCACACTTTTACCTTTTGGCATGCCACTTTCAAAAGTTTTTTTTCCTTCACAAATATTATTGAGAAAATTAGATTTTTCACCAAAATAGAGAACAGCAGTTTTAGGCCACCAGGCAGCCTCCTAAAAACCCTTTTGGCGGCATTTTAAGGGAAATCTTACCAGCATCAGAAACTATCTTCTATTAGGTATTTTGCAGAGCTGGTTTTGTTCGGGGGAAAAGTGAGAACTTTGGGATTACATTAACATGTCTTTGGCGCGGTGTGTGGTCTTTGTGTGGAGCTTGTAGCTGTTGAGAATGACTTGTTGGAAGCGTGTGTGCTCTCATCGCTCTCTTTTGTAGAAACCCACAGTGCAACTCCCCAAGTCCTCCTGGCTTTATGGTGGGCTGGTCTCCATGAACCCCAAGCAATTAGTCCCTAATCTCAAGGTAATCATATTTGAGTTAGTGACTAGCTGTTGAATTTTATTCGCCTGCTTAGCTTCAGTATCACTTTTGGGTAATATGTAGCATCCAGAAATCGTGCTGTAGTAGGCTACTTAGCCTATCAGTGACATGTAGTTAAGACTGAATTTTCAAGTTTGAGAGGATATCAAATATGTGTGCATCTTAAAATCAAGGCTGACAGTCAACAAGCAAAGGTGATTTAAATCTTGACAGTGGCTTCTACGATTGAAAGTAAATCAATTTGTATTATTGTTAAGATTTCAATTAGATTTTTAATTGTCAAATCTTTCAACCTGCACTGTGAAAATGTCAGAGGCCATTTATTTTTACTGTTTTTAAGGGAAATGTTATAAAATTGGGAGTTAACAAATTGGGAATGGGGTTTAGTGTGCACATAAAGTTAATGATTCTCAAGATAGTACCAAAAGTTTTAAATAATCAGATCATTTGAAGATAGATATTTCTGCAGCATTATTAGTGTGCAGGCTCTCCCACCAGTAATCGGTTCCTCAGATCTCAAACTTGAATTTGTAAGACTGAACAAAACTGATAATTAATGGTGCACTTGAGAGAGCTTTGAAAAAAGCTTAAATATCAAAAGCAAAATATTAAGAATAATACAAGAAATAGACAAAAACAATTTTTCCTCTTCATTGATTTCGTTTGATTGATAAAATTTAAGCGAACATGCAAGTGTGATTTCTGACATATATCCCTGTTGATGAAGACATGAGGATCTCAATATCAATGCATGAGGCATTAACACTGCACTGTGATATGCTTGCATTAAGTAGAACATAAACATCTAATAAAAAAACAACAACAAATGGAAACATAAAATGATTAGCAGTGACTTTCAGAGTTACTTCTTACACTTAAAACACTTAAAAAGTTTTTTAAGTGTGTATTGTTTATCTTTATGATAAAGATACAAAAGTCTGACTTAGTGCTGTCCACAGTACTGAAGTAAACAGAAACTCAACACAAAGACATTCAATATTAACTAAAATGTGTATATGTAATGTGTTAGATGAAATTAAGTCAAATCATAATCCAACTAGTCTAACACAGTTTTAATCATAACCAGTTTTAATCAAAACCAGAAGCTCTACGGAACAATTTTTCAAAGGCAGTCTCATAATAACCTTGTTTAGAGATGATAAAAATAATTAATTTTCTTCTTCTGAAGCACAGCCACTCTCATTTTTCTTTCTTAAGTTCCTAAACATTTCACTGCAGCAGGCCTAAGCATTCATGTGCATTACAAATAGGACAATTACACAGCATCTGCAATCACCCCCTTTGGTAAATGTTATTGTCAGCTAGCAGCAAAAATCTTTAATTGTCCTACGTTTATCTGGTTCTTCAAGCCATTGTTCAAAGAGCGCAAACGAGGGTCATTTGTGAACTGAAATACTTTGCATGCAAAGCGGAGCACAAGATGCTGTAATACTTGACCTTTCAGCATAATTGTTGCAGGCATGAAATGCAGCATTCAGAGCTCCCTGAGTGGAGTCTTTCTCTCTCCCTCCCTCTGATGAACAAAGTGCATTTTATACATCTTTGGTGTTCATTTGGCTTTTCTTTTAAAGAAAATTTCTCTGGGACTGACTGCAATTTATCTTCATTTTAATAACACCGCTGCAGCAAAAGAACATCATAAATCACACAATTCCTCAATTCACAAATAAATAATTCACTTCGTGCTTAGCCCCCCCCCCCCCCCCCGAAAGAAAAAAGCCAGGAAACTTGTAAATGGATGTGTTCATTAGTTTGACATGACAGGCCTTTAACTAAATCATACTGGACAGCAAGATTTCAACATCTTGCTCAAGGACACTTCATGAAGAATGACTGCTGCACTGGTTGAACCCATGAACCCATGAATCTTTCAGACTGAATGTTGAACTGTTTCTTTGGTCAAAATTCACAATAATGTTTTTTTTTTAAAGGAGAAAACTTCATTTTTATATCTTCAGAGCCGCAATGATCTAGAAAATGTTACAACTATTTAAGTGATTTATCTACTGGATTTACATTTATTTACATTATCTTTACATTACATTGTTTACATCATCTATAGTATCTATACCTGCTAATTTATTTGTGACCTGTGCTTTAGAATAAACAAAGGTTGCTGGAAACAACCACAACTTCAAAATCATACAAACAACAAAGGGGAAAATAAAAAAATTTTATAGAAGGAAATTATTGTACAAATTTTTACCTGATATAGGTCTGAAGACAGGCATGCTAAAAAGTGAGCATAGGGGATTGACAGTGTGCGGGCCCTCTGGTTTCTTCACTAAAAAAAGAAAAGCAAATCTGGGAACATAAAGGTACTTATTTTGACACCTTTGTTTATTATTGATCCTCTTTTTCATGTAGAACAATGGTGGAACAAACTTACAGAAAAGCCATGAAAAACAGAATAATATGGAACAATATTTAACATAACTGAAAAGCAAAAACATTTTGGCCCTTATGGAACTATCAGGTACAAACTCTTCCATGATGGTGGTTAATTTTCTAAGAACTTGAGTTGTTTAAATATATATAAATGTTAATATTACTTGCAGATTTCATGCATGCAATTAGCTAGCACACATGGTATCATTTAACTGTTGCTAACTCTTGTTCCTCCTCCTGAGCATTTTAAAGCAAACCTGAAAGCCTAAAAGGTCTCTGTAAGTTTTTTAAGGAATTTTACTCCTTACTCTGATTCTGAAGTACATTTAAAAAGTAACAGAACTATGTTCTCTAACCAATTCTGGTCACTCAGCTAACAAACCACCTGGGAGTTTTCAGGGCCAGATGGTATATGATTTCAGTTTTTTTGTCATGAATTTGTAAAGAAGGTGAAGAGAATCAG